ATATCATCGATACGTGTCAAGTATTAAAAGTATTAAAATCTTGAATGTATTTATCGTACAATTTGGATTATATTCTTGTGCTACTGGATTATATCCACGCTGTTTAAACGTGTTATTTTCTATTCAAATGTAAAAGAATCTTATGTTTGCACGGTAGGTAGAACAGCGCTTCACGTAGCGACCGAATCACACGTACCATTTACAAAGGGAACCTCGTCGTTGGGTACAATAAAACTGTTGTTGAAATACGGAGCGGACCCTACAATCAAAGAAACGAAATGCGGGAACAACGCGTTGCACGTGGCCTTGGTTTCCTTGGATTGCGATCCTATTCTCGTCAAGGTATCGTTTTTTCATTCACTTGACAACTGAACTGTCTTGCTCTTTAATTACGTATCGACTTATGTATGCAAAACAGCTACTACTTGATACTTGGACATCCGATCTGGTGAACGCCGTTAATTACAACCACGACACAGCGTTGCACCTGGCAACAGGCAAGTCGGCCAACCTTTTCAGCTTGAAAAGGCAGAGAGAAGTATGCTGGCTGTTGGCTCAAGCCGGAGGCCATACCGATTTACTGAATCAGCAAGGAAAAACACCGTTAGACCTTGCTTCCGCGGACAGGAAGGAAGCGATCAGAGAGATTTTGCACAACAGATCACAAAGCATCGTCAAAGACAGCATAGGATCCAGTGAATGAACACCAATCCTCTTTCGCTCGCAAGGTCCAGGCTTGTTTAATTCTCACAGGTTTCTCACTTTAATAGCTAATGACTGTCGTTTCAATAGCATCGTCATTACCAACGTTGACAACTGAACGTGTAAGATCAGAACGAAAGATAAAAAGATCAGAACGATTGTTCGTCCATTAATATTCATTATTATCTCCCACCTAATGCGTGAACGTTTGATCGATGAATTCTTAGAAATAGAAATCTGTCATCAATAGTAGTATTTCTTGTAATTATCTAGAAACACAGATTTATCACAAGACTATTACGCACCTCGAAATACAAATTATAAATGTCAAGGAATAAAATTTACTTTGTGGCACGTTATGAATGAAAGGAGTACTGTACAAATAGGAAAGAAAAAGATTTTTCAGAGAAATCCGAGGCTTTTCTACGAAAACTATTATGTAAGTTTCAATGTAAAGACAGTGTGTTAACTTTTCACTCTATTTGAATATATATATATATATATATATATATATATATATATATAT